ATTTTAAACATAACAAATAAGTTAGTACTACCAGTAGGTGTCGAGAAACTGGACAAATTTGCAATCAGTACCTCCCACCGACTTGGCCCACCACGCCAGGATAGACCGAGGGATATCATAGTTCGGTTTGTACGGTATAATGACAAAGCTACAATTTACAAAAACAAATCCAACCTTAAAGGGTTCAACACAAATCAAGACATTGGTTACAAAATTTATATCAATGAAGCCCTTACTCAGCGGCGTGCAATCCTATATACCAAAGCTAGACAGGCGCTGCGAAACCAGATAATAAAGGGATGCTGGACCACAGACGGCAAAATTTACATCAAAACAAACGATGACAAAAGAGTGACTATTAGGTCACAAGATGACCTAGACGCACTTAACACTAACGAACAAGTGAACAGTGACTGTGAAACAGACACGGACGAAACAAGCGAACCAGATATCAGTGATCAAACCAAACGTAACTCGTTCTCCGACGTTGTAAAAAATAATAAAGACGAACCGGTGGACAGCAGAAGAGCCGCCGATACATCCAATTCCTAGATATGTATCAACCATCAACCCGTTGTATCACAAATTGAAACATTTCAAATTGCAGATATACGTGGGTAATTCACAGATATAACTACCCGGTATATCAATCCCAGTTAATTTATAGTATATAATTCACTTATTACAGACCCTTGTACATAATTATATCAGTTTTGAATGTTGCACGTCATTACGTTGTCTTATATCCTGATATATTGTCATGTATTGTTTGGGAACTCACTTGTAGATGAGTCGCTTCCCAATCAAATTTGTATTGTAGATTTTCTTTTGTTTTTGTTCATATTTTTTCTGTTTGTATGTGAAATGCTGTTTATTTGTTTCCAATTTTTTGCTTTTAACACATCCACAGTTTTATATGTCTACAACTGTCAACACATTCATTACAAACAAACAAAATCAACTCTTAGACCTTATGCATATCGTGTACATTTTTTACATAATTTTCCGTTTTGCGGCAAATTCAATGTCCTTAGACCAGACATTATAGACAATGGGTAACAGCATAGAGCAATATCGCGCCGCAATTGGAACTTTTTACTTTGTGTGTAGGTGTGTAACTTGCTCGTCAATCTTTGTTTTTCTTACACTGCGTGATATTTTGAACTTATTCCAACAAGTGACTCGAAAACGTCTTTTGAAAAGTTTTTATGTTCGTAACATTCTGTCTATACACATAACTTTTTTCATGCAATTTTTTGCTTTTATTTTGTTAATATCTGGTGATATAGAAACAAATCCAGGCCCTATTTATGACAGTGTCCTTGACATTTTACACCTAAATATTCGAAGTCTCAGGAACAAAATTGACCCACTTAAAGCCATAGTAAATGAATTTGATATTGTGTGCTTTACTGAAACGCATCTCGACGACAACATTTTGAATAGTGATATTTATTTAGACGGTTTTAATTGTATTTTTCGCAAAGATCGAAACTCTTTCGGAGGCGGAGTCGTTATTTACACAAGTAACAATATTCGAGCTCACAGACGAATGGATCTTGAACCTGTCAATATTGAAGTTATCTTGTTAGAAATTGATAATCCTACCTCTCAACTTTTCTTATGTTGTGTCTACCGTCCTCCGCACGCAGATTCCACTTTTTGGAGAAACTTTTCGTGGTCTTTGGACAAAATAGGTGAGCTTTCTGACAAAATCATAATTGTTGGCGATATAGATGTTGATCTTCTAAGCACTCCTCACACACATATCATATATGATATAATATCCAATTGTAATCTTATCAACAGAATCAGCGAGCCAACGAGAATCACGAATTCCTCTCGAACACTTATTGACCCAATATTTTCTACACAAAGTGTAGACGTAACAGAGTCGGGAACTTTAAAGCGACCATTGAGCAACTTATGTGTGTCTTACCTTGAACTACAAAATTAATCATGCGTACAAGCGCAATGTATGGCTGTATAAAGAAGCGGATTTTGAGAAACTTAATTCCTTAATTAACGACTGCGATTGGGACAATTTAATAAACAACGTCCAAGATGTCGGCACTGCTACGGAAAACTTTACTACTTATTTCTTATCGTCTTTACGAAAATGTGTTCCAGAAATGTCGGTCACTATTCGTCCTAAGGACAAACCGTGGTTTGACTCGGTTCTTAGAAAACATATAATAATACGCAACAGACTTAAGATCTAATTATTATCTTCCTAAACTACAATTTCAACGATGTAAATTAGAATACATAACCTCTCATAAACATCTAGGACTACTATTGAGCCAAAATCTCAATTGGTCTGAACATATAGACAATATAGTTAAACAGGCTTACCAAAGATTAGGCCTCCTAAAAAAGCTTAAATACAACATTGGTAGAAACACACTATCTAAAATGTACATAACTTTTATTAGACCACTACTTGATGTTCTGTAGTTTGGGATGGATGCTCTCTACAAGATGTTGAAAAATTAGAAAAGGTGCAGCTTTATGCTGCGAGAATAATTACAGGATTACCCATTATAGCCTCATCTCGCAGAGAGGCGTAAAGTAGGAAAACTAAATACCATGTTTAAAATACATCACAGTTTGGTACCTGATTATTTAAAAAGTGTTTTTCCCTCAATAAGGAGTGTTGAATCAAATTACAACACACGTAATCGAGATGACTACACTATTCCTAGATGCAGACTCGAAATATTTAAGAAATCTTTTGTTCCTGATACAGTAAACCAATGGAATAGTTTAAGTATTACCACAAGAAACAGCTCAACATTTAGTAGTTTCAAAAACAAAACACGTACAAAACCAGCAGACCCCCCTCCTTATTTCTGTTATGGTAACAGACGACTTAGTATCATACATACTAAACTACGACACAACTGTATTTTAAATTATGATCTTTATAAAAGAAACATTATTGAGAGTCCTAATTGTTCATGTGGTACACCAGAAGACCCATATCATTTCTTCTTTGTATGTAATAAATATCAACATGCTATAGAGGAACTATTTAGAAACCTACTGTGTCTTATTAAACCAAACACTAAATTGAATATTATTGATTGTCACCTACTTCTGTGGGGAGATGAGTCACAAAATGTTGAAATCAATAAATATATTTTTCAATCTGTACAAAAATTTATAAGAGATTCTGGCAGATTCAATTAATTATAACAGCCTTACACTAAAACTCTAGTTAGTTATATATTTATCATGTAATTAATGTATGTTTAAAACAAACATGTTTGTATATCAATATTTTTTTTTCTATATATAGACCTTGACAGTTGTAGCCATTTATGGTGAGAACCTCGTAAGTTGTTAGAACTTGTGTTCAAACCATTTGTATATTTATTTATACAATAAAATATGTTCAAACCATAGGTCCGTGATCCGGTAATACGAATTTTACATTGCCAACTGTAACAAAAGAAAGCAATTTATCATAAAAAAGATAAAGAATATTGTTCTGCTAATATTGATACGAGTTTCATATAAAATTTAAGAAATTTTAAGACATAATCTTTCTTTTCTTCCGGGGCAGGTTTTAAATTAAAAGCGCAAATAATCAAGGATACGATTCGGTATTTCTAAAGAAATCACATCAAGTCCCTAATCCCATTTTCTTTTAATTACGTCGGGATCGATTCGGTCGTCATTTTGACGCTTTATTATGAACGTCAAAGGTTGACGTCAAGTTAAACGTTTGATTGAAATCGCAAGAGTTATCTCCCCCAGTGTGTTGTACGTCTTTAAAATGTGAAAAGAGAATAATTTAGCAGTATATATTTCTATGTTGTGAGTTAATTTACTCTGTATATACTGTTGGACACGTCTAATTCATGTGATATTACATGTAGGGAGAGGGCGAATTAAGTTTTTTAGAACTTGTGCCCAATCCCATTGTCTCAAGCCTGGGTCCGGAGTCCGCATATAGCTCTCTCCTATAGAATGGAAGAGGATCGTACATTTTTGCCGTGGTTTTCGACGACGGCCCAATCCCATTGTATATATTTATTGCAATAAAATATGTTCAAATCAGATATCTTGTTTTGTAAAGAGGGTTGTAATCAATGTAATTTGGACTTGCATACCTTGCGGTATTATTAAGGTATTCAATGTATAACGATCATATTTTGTATCTAATAAATGAATGGTCCTATATTTGTAATTATGGTATCATTTTGATGGTGTTGTGAAATAAAAATAATCCACCAAAGAAATTTAAAAAAAAAAATTATTATTGTCAAATTAATTGCACTTTGAATTTTACATTGAAGTCTAGGGGCAATGCATGAGTTATTAGGATATTGTAAAAAGTATTTTGAATTTCATAAAAAGCTCTTGGTGAAAATATGCTTACACTCTCTCATTATTAAAATATGAAATGAAATTAATAATTTACCACAGATATTTTGACGAAATTGAAATTTTCTACTTTGCATCAAGGGCAGATAACTCTTCAAAAACTTTAAAAGTGCAGAATGACCAGCTTCTTATATGTTATCAGTCATGTGAATTTGGTTCATTTCACTTTCATCGTTATCTAGCAATGCAATTTAACTAGTTTAAAATTATTCAAAATTCTTCAAAATCCCTTCATTATACATTGAATAGGCTTTCATTACAGAAACAAGTGGCTGTGAATAACATACACGCCTTCCTAACCTTTCACTGTGTTATTCTACTTTAAGATCATAAATATGAAAGTCATATCGTACTGCACTTATTTCGTTGTGGTTATAGGTGGAGTACCGTATGAGTAGTGAATCCATTAAGGGTAATGGGATGCAATTCCTCTTTGTTTTCCCAGAAAACAGAGTGACAGAGAGCATCTCCCTCCCCCAAAAAAGTAATTTCACGTTAGCTTGTGAACGGGTCAGGATAAAAAAAAATTAGAAGCTTAACCTTTAATCTATACATATACATTTAATAACGAACAACATTAATTTCCAAAATATGTAATTTTTGTACTGTTTCTGTTTCGTCCTTCTTCCGTTCCATGTTTTCCACGTTTTAGCAACACTAGTAAAAAGAGGCCATAAACTGTCCATAAATGCATTCTTTGTAAAGTTATCTAGGTCGAAGAGTTTCACTTGGTTTAGCAGCTTTCCGAAGCTGGTCAAAATTACTTGCAACTTTTTCCCACACCGAATCCACTTCCACTTTTTCTGTATTCTCTGGATTCATCCATATTTTTCGGACTGTCGCGTCACTTCTGGCTGTAGATGGAGATTTTCTTCCGTCGTCATTCATCATCTGCTTGCTCAGTGGATCATTAAATGTTTCCCATTGATTCTGCCAGGGCTATCAATGCAATAAATGACAAAAAATAATTCTTTATATCTATCAAATAATTTTTTGCCATACTTATTAATTAACGATAAAAGCTATGTACATCGCGCATTGTTTTGATGAATGCTTTGCACTTCAGGTTAGATAATGTTGGTACTTATATATGCGCAATATCCAAAAAGTTGACGTTATCAAAAAATTGCATTAAAAAAATCATAAATGTAATATGCCTCCAATACAGGTTTATGTACACTGTATATATACTTGTGGTTCATGGTGTTCCTCGATGGTATTGCTGAAATCATCCCACCAGACCGAACGCCTTCTGGAGTCCTGTAGAGAAGCATCATATTGTATGTATAAATATTATATATATATATATATATATATATATATATATATATATATATATATATATATATATATATATATATATATATATATATATATATATATATATACACGTTGATAAGTTAAATTCTTGGTACAGTAAAAAATACTTAAATAAATGAAAACAGAATGCTACAGTCCAAATTAAACTAGTTATAATTGTAACGGGGACCGTTACAGATGTTCCCCAAACGCTCCCCAACACCCTTTTGGTGTCTTATTTCCTGTAAGCTTCCTTAAATAAGCCAATGAAGTATATTGATAGTTTTTTGCATTTCACGCGCGCGAACGTGCATGCATGTGCAGGATGACCATGTCATCTCATCTATACTATTAATGCATCTTTATATTCTCAGTATTAAAACATTTCATCAAAAAATAAATAAGTTCCGGCTATATCAAGTAACAAGTATATTGGTCATCTTAGCATTGCACGCATGCGCACCTGCATGCATGTTCATAATGACCATGCCATTTTGTCAACACTTATAATATGTCTGTTTATTCTTAGTATCAAAGCTTTTCATAAAAAAATATAAAAGTTATGGCTACATTAAATATATTGGTCATTTAACCCATTGCACGCGCGCGCATGTGCATTCATGAGCATGATGTCCACATCATCTTGTCTACACTTTTAATATATCTGTATATTCTTAATATCAAAGCTTTTCATAAAAAAATATAAAAATTACAGCTATATTAAGTATATTGGTCATTTAACACATTGCACGCGCGCGCACGTGCATGCATGCATGCATGTGCATGATGACCATGTCGTCTTGTCTACACTTTTAATATATATGAATATTTTGAGCATCAAAGCATCTCATCAAAACGTATAATAGTTACGAGTATATCAAGTATATTTGTCATTTTACGCTTTGCGCGTGCGCACACGTGCATGCATGCGCATGTTGACCATGTCATCTTGTTTACACTTTTAATATATCCTTATATTCTGAGTATCAAAGCATTTCATCAAAAAATATAAAAATTACAGCTATATCAAGTATATTGGTCATTTTACACATTGCACGCGCACGCACGTGCATGCACGTGCGCTCAAAATGACCTTGATTCCGCAAATCTACATAACATGTCCATTAACCCTAAAAAGGTATCACCTCAATCGGATGAGTAGTTGACGAGATCACTCGCGGACAAAAAAGTACCCAGGAAGAAGAAGAAGAAGAAGAACTAGATGCGTTTCTTGTTGCTAGGGCAACAAGTGGTCTTCCGACCGAACTTTTCTCCAGATCGCTGTGCTACCTCACTTCATTTAATACTTTATTGAAGGTATTTTTTGTTCGCGTTTATGTAACACAGTCTTTCAACATAGATCATGATTATTAAAGGATTTCTGTAGAATCTCTGTTAAAAAAGCTTTAAAAATTAAGCAAAAACTATCATACATGTCTTCACAGAGAAAAATATCATTTACAACTGAAAAAAGAGAGAAACAATCTCCCGCCCCAGCAGGATTCGAACCCGCAACAAAACGAGAAAGTTTGGATCGGTCATATGAAAGATATGGAGATAACGAACAGTATTCAAGCTCAAAAGTCCATTAAACAATACAAAATAGGAGCAGAGCAAACACGGACCTCCAAACATCAGAGGTGGGATCAGGTGCCATGGAGGAGTGAGCATCCCCTGCCGACCGGTCACACCTGCCGTTTGCTCCTTGTCATGATCGGGAAATCATGGAAAAATCCGTCGACAATTCAGTGTGTAAATAATGGCCTAACAATTAGTATGAAAAACGTTAGTCAGCATTTGACTCAATGATAAATTGTATTTGCTGACAAGGCCATTGTATCGACCATAGAACTTACGAAATGATGACTTTAAAACGAGACAGCTGATATTCTTGTTTCATCAACTTATTTGTCAATAATTTACCTCGTTTTAGAAATTATACATACGTAGAGCATGCTCTTGCGTATCGAATCAACTGAGAGATATATACCCCGTATGCAGGTGATGAAGGTATATTGCTGCATAAGTAAGGGAAGTTGACGATTGAAAAGTTAAAGTCATCACGTTTATCATAAAGCTTGGTTGTTAGATTACCATTAACATCTTTTTCAAGTAAAATATACAAATATGAAACAGATGTGTCAGACTCTGTGGTATCTTTTATCTCAAGTTCACCAGGACATATCGTATCGACATAAGAATGGAAATAGCCATTGTTAATTGACAATACGTCGTCGATATATCTAAATGTCGAGTTGAAGACAACAGCAAGTGTTTTCTTCTTTTCACGTACAAGATTTTGGACAAATTCTGCTTCATATGAATACAAAAAAAGGTCTGCTAATAACGGGGCGCAATTGGTACCCATGGGAATTCCAATAGATTGTTGGAAGACCTGGTCTCCAAAAACCACATAGATATTGTCAATCAGAAACTCAAGCATCTTTTTAATGTCAACTTCAGAGTACTTGTGTGTACAATCAGAATGTTTTTTAACAAAATAATTTTGCAAATGACGAATGACAAGGTAAGTATATTTACGAGTTCCATTTTTATTGAAAAAGCAGCTGTCAATGATATCAAAAAGCCTGGAATTTAATTTATCGTGGGGAATGGTTGTGTATAAAGTTGAAAAGTCGTAAGTTTTAAAGCTGTTGATTTTGGTAAAATCTTGTGATTTCAAATTTTCAAAAAGTTCCTTGGAATTTTTAAGTATCCACATCTGATTTACACCACTTCTCGAATATATTGTTGCACAGTACTCTTGAAGTTTCTCCTTCACCACTGTTAATATCTTAGTGAGGAGTAAAGATAGAGGCTTGGTTGAACATATACTGGAACCCGCTATGTATCTTTGTTTGTAAGGATTTTTATGAAGTTTCGGAATCCAATATAAATATGGTAATTCGAATTCATCTTGGTTGTTTGGAATATTAAAAATATTCAAAACTGACATATGATTTTGAAGAAGTTCTTCCTTAGAAAGGGAACTATGAGTATAAGTTGGATTACCACTTGTAGAATTAAATCCAAGTTCCTCTAAAATACATTTAATATAATGAGTCTTACAAACAAAGACAATATTGTTACCTGCTTTGTCAGCAGGGACCAGTACGTACTGATCATGTAATCTATCTTTGTATTACATATCTTTGCAACAAATGCATCAATCAAAATGATAAAAACATACTTAGAACTCTTAGAAGACTCTCGATTAACCCTGTAAATCCCAGAGAAAAATATTGAAAAACAAAAAAGTTACAAATTTAACATTTTTTAATTCACTTCCGTTTGCAACCGGAAGTACGAACGATGGAAAATAATGGTCGATCAACATATCTACATTTGATGCTCTATCACCTCAGCAAGTTTCATATTCATATCTTATCATATATATCGAAAGACCTTAATAATAAAAAGTAAACTAATTGTTCAGAGAACAATTAGAGGCCTTTCCACCTTTTTAAGTGTTTTCGTGTCGTTTAGGCCAAAAAAAAAGAAAAATGCCAAAAAAAAAAAGCAAAAAAATCAACCAAAAAAAAAAAAAAAAAAAAAAAAAAATCCTCCTCCAGCTGGGATCGAACTCAAAACCCTTGGTTTGAAAGGCAGGTGCTCTAACCACTGCGCTACACATTCCGATAAAATTGAGTAACTTAATTGCTTAAGACTATAGAATAAATACAAGCGTATTTTTAGAATCGGTAGGGGAAGAAAGAAGTTCCGTAAAAGGAAATAGTTCCTGAACTTGCAAGCAGTATATAAAATAACAAGGGACGGGTGTGCGTGAGAAAACGTTAACACTGTTCCCTAATGAAAATGTATTAATGGACTGTAGCCCGATTCATCGATATTGTGAGCATGCTGAATTTTTGGAAAATAGCTTAGTTGTAAGCTTAAAAGATCGGGTTCGGATTTTAACATTTCTGACTGAATATCCTGAAATAAATATGAAACATTTAAATAAGCATTTCTTTGGGTTAAATTAAATATGTGTAGCACAAATTAAACTCCCAACATGCATTTTTAGAAGGGAAACACGACAATGAAAGCGAGAATTGTTTTTAATATACAGAAAATCGCTATTTCTGGAAACTGATTAATTCTAAATAAAAATCAAATAAATTCCAAATGTAAAAGAAAGAGAGAATGCTTGGTATTAAAATGTCGTATCATATCAGGAAAATCGAATGCTACTAACGACATCTGAAGAAATAGCCGATAAAAGGTTTAGATCATTTCTTCGTCCACCTGCACTTTAATTTCAAACACAACAGAACTTGTAGTTCTTGCCGTGAAACTTCATGACTTCTATAAACTTATAAGACTCACCGTAAAACTCTCAAGAAAGTTTCTCTGAGGTCTATGCTACATATGTACCAAATATGTTGTCGATCCGAGGTCTGGTTTGAATTTTACAGAAATATTTTACGTGGTTGTTGATGTGATTTTTTTTAAGAAGGGGGGGGGGGAATGAATTATTTATTTTATGCCTCTTATAAACTAAGAATTGTAACTACTTTCACAACTTTAAGCCTGATTGTGACCTTTGGGTCAAGATCAAAGGTCAAGGTCATTTCCAAAAAAAAAAAAAACCAAAACAAAACAAAACAAGGAAATCTTTACTTTCTATGTTTTTACCTGATACTGGAGCTGGATGCATGTCCTTACTTTTCATTTGACCCAATGTCAAGGCCAAAGGTCAAGGTCAAAGTTCAAGGTCATTTGGTGAATTGCTATATTTTACAAATATATAAGGAATTTCTTATGTTTTTAAATGACTTTGACCTTGACCTATATTTTAAGGTCAAAGTCAAACATGCCGATGCAGTTGGTCCCATGTCTCTAGGATACACCGTTTTAAAAAAAGTTCATTAAATGTAAGCAGCATAAACTTTCAGGGGCAGTAACTCATACAAGGGACCAAAGAATGCTTTTGCAATGATAGAATGAAGAGAGTATTA